TTACATTTGCACAGTGTTTAGTTCCCTAGGGCTGCCGTGACAAAGGACTACAAAGTGGGTGGGTTAAAATAGTGGAAATGTGTTCCCTCACAGTTCTGGAGGCTAGAAGTCCAAACTCAGGGAGTCAGCTGGCCATGCTCCCTCCAAAGAGACCCTTCCGTTGCCTCTTCCTAGCTTCTGTGGGTTTGCTGACTGGCCGTAGCATTGTTCTGCTTCCGGTTTACAGCACTTTAACCTCTGCCTCTATCGTCACATGGCAACTCCCTTGTGTGTCTGCCTTTAGATTGTCTTCCCTCTTCTTATAAGGACTCTGGTCCTATTGGATTAAGAGCCCAACCTACTCCAGTATGAATTCATATTAACTTATACAATTATTATCTGTAACAACTCTGAGATTCTGACACCATTTCCACTTATGATCACCAACGAAGATTCTGACTCCAATTACAATGTGCAGGTTTCTCCCACCACCACCAAGCAATTCTCAGACACCAGCTGGGTGTCCTACAGTTCTTCTCAATTCTGACCCTATCTACCCAGAGATAGCATCAGGCTCCACAGGTTAAGGGCTCAGACCCACAGACTGCCCTCTACTTAGATGCCAATTCTAAGTCCAGGTTGTCACCTGTGCCTCTGACCCAAGGGCTATAGATTGGAGGTTCCCACAACTTCCTCCACGGATTCAATTAATTTGCTAAAGTGGCTCACAAAACTCAGAGAAACATTTCACTTACTGGATTACCAGTTTATTATAAAAGGGTGTAATGCAAGAATAGCCAGATGGAAGAGACACATAGGGCAAGGTATGGGGAAAGGGCACAGAGTTTCCACGATCTCTCTGAGCATGCCACTCTTCCTGAATCTCCAGGTGTTTACCAACCCAGAAGTTCTCTGAACCTTGTCTTTGTAGATTTTTATGAACGCTTCATTACATAGACATGATTGATTAATTCATTGGCCATTGTTGATGGATTCAACTTCTGACCTCTTCCTTTTCCCCTCCCCAGAAGTCAAGAGGGTGGCACTGAAAGTTCCAATTCTCTAATCACATGGTTGGTTCTCCTGGTAACCAGCCCCCAAACTTAGGTGTGGTCTGTCCAAAAGTCACCTCATTAACATAACAAAATGTCTTTATGGCTGTCATCACTTATGATATTCCAAAAGTTTTAGGAGCTCTGTGCCAGAAACAAAGACCAAATATATATTTTTTATTAAAAATCACAGTATCACAGACCCTATTTCCAAATAAGGTCACATTCTCAGGTACCAGGAATTAAAGGTTCAATTTATCTTCTTGGGGGACAGAATTCAACCTATTACAGGCAATATGTGCTTTTTCTCTGGGGATTGTAAATCTGTCTGTTCTAATGTAAGGTTTTATTAGCCATACTATAGTTTCATTAACAATAAAAAAACCTTTAATGATGTTAACAATTGTTGAAACAAAGTGAATAAAAATTCATTATTTAAGAGGTCTATGTTTGTATAGAAAATTAAAAACCTTGATTTTTAAAAATTTAATTTAATTATTTTATTGAAATACAATTGACATACAATATCCTATTTATTTCAGGTGTACATAATAGTGATTCAATATATATACATTATGAAATGATAACCATCATAAATCTAGCTATCATCTGTCACCATGCTAAGTTATTACAATATTATTGACTATATTCCCTATGCTGTACATCATATGCCCACGACATTTATTTTTTGGAAGCTCATTCTTTTACAATGAAACTTTGCAGATATGGAGAAACTATGCAGAAACTTTAAGTGAACATGCACACTGAGAAGTGGGGTTTTGTATTAATCAGGGTTCTCCAGATGGTGAGTTGGCAACCTGGAGACTCAGAAGGACTGATGATGTAGTTCTAGTTTGAAGGCTAGCAGGCTCAAGACCCAGGATGAGCCAATGTTTCAGTTCAAGTCTTAAGGCAGGAAAAAACCAATTCCCAGTTTGAAGACAGTTCAGAACTCTCTCTTGGTTAGGGGAGGGGGGGTCAGCCTTTCTGTTCTGTTCAAGCCTTCAACTGATTGGATGAGGCCCACCTACATTGCTTTACTCAGTCTACAAATTTAAATGTTAATCTCATCCAAAGCACCCTTACAGAAACACAGGGAACAATGTTTTGACCAGATATCTTGGAACTCTGTGGCCAAGTGCAGTTGACATAAAATTAACAATCACAGATTTCATTATTTTTTTAATTACAGTTATATATATATATATTTTTTTTTCTAATTTATATATGTAATTATCTGTTGCCATGAATAGATATTGATTCTGCTCTTTGGGACTCTGATATTTGAGAGATAACCCTCACCTGTTGATTATCTACTGTATTTTTCAAGAATCTTTCTGTTTGCAAAAAGTAAAAGCTAACTAAAACTGACTTACACAAGTGTAACAGCATTTTTAAAAACTGACAAAAATTAATTTATTAACTCATTCAGACCATGGGGTAAAGTTGCATTCAGAGATAATTGATATCATTCTTAGTCTTGTAGCTCAGACTGATTTTATTCTCTGGGTTGATTTCATTATCAGAAAGATTCCCAGAGTGGTGGAAAATATGACCATTCTACCAGTTTGGCCACCTCATGACATACGGAACACCTCCTCTGATAGTTCTAGCAAAAGTCACAGGAATAGTACTCATTGAGCTGGCAGCCTAGACATGTGTTACTTCAAGGGATTGTTCCAGATCATGAGCCCAATATACTTGAGCCATATAAACAGAGAGTGAAGATGTGGTTTCTTAAAGAAAAACCAAGACACTGTTACCAGAAAAAGGGGACAATGGAATTTTGGTAGGTAGAAACACCAAATACTATATGACAAGCACCAAAGTGTTTGTTCTACATATGTTATCTCATTTAAGTTTTAGAAACATTACAAGTTCCCTGTTTTATCACTTTTATCCTGTTAGGAAACTCAGCCAAGTTAAATGACTTGTCCCAAATTCAGACAGCCAAACCTCAATCTGCCTAACTCCAAATCTAATTTGCTTTCCACAGCACCACACTAACTCTATGAAAATCAGAGCCAGGTTAATGAACGGGCTGCCTGGGAAGCTTATTTGATACCAAAGTAGAAGCAACACTGTAATAACATTGGCCTACATGTGAATAATGGAGAACACTCAATATTGCCAAGATGTCAATTCTTCCCAACCTGGTCTATAGATCCAATGCAATCCCAATCAAAGCCCCAGAAAATTATTTTATAGATATCAACAAAATGATTCTAATATTTATGTGAAGAGGCAAAAGGCCCAGAATAGCCGATACAATATTGAAGGAGAAGAACAAAGTTGGAGGAATGATGCTACTCAGCTTCAAGACTTACTATACAGCTGAAGTAATCAAGACAGTCTGGTATTGTCAAAATAGCAGACAAGTAGATCAATAGAACAGAATAGAGAGCCCAGAAATAGACCCACTTAAATATAGGCAACTGATCTTTCACAAAGGAGCAAAGATAATACAACGGAGCAAAGATAGACTTTTCAATAAATGGTACTGGAACAACTGGACATCTACACTCAAAAAAATGAATCGAAACACAAACTTTACTCCCTTCATGAATATTAACTCAAAATATATCATAGACTTAAATGTAAAATGCAAACTTACAAAACTCTAGAAGATAACACAGGAGAAAACCTAGATGATCTTGGGTATGGTGGTGCCTTTTTAGATACAACACCAAAGACACAATCCATGAAAGAAATAATTGATAAGATGGACTTCATTAAAATTGAAAACGTTTGCTGTGTGAAAGACAATATCAAGTAAATTATAAGACAAACCACAGACTGGGAGAAAATATTTGCAAAAGACAGATCCGATAAAGGACTCTTCTAAAATATACAAAGCATTCTTAAAATTCAGCAATAAGATAACAAACAACCTGATTAAAAAATGGGCCAAAGACCTAACAGACACCCTACTAAAGAAGATATACAGATGGTAATAAGCATATGAAAAGATGCTCCACATCATATCTCATCAGAGGAATGTAAATTAAAAGAATGAGATACCACTACACACCTATTAGAATGGCCAAAATCCAGAACACTGACAACACCAAATGTAAGTGAGCGTGTAGAACAACAGAAGCTCTCATACATTACTGGTCGGAATGCATAATGGTCAGCCACTTTGGAAGACAGTTTGGTGGATTCTTACAAAACTAAACATACTTTTATCATACAATTCAGGAATCGTGCTCCTTGGTATTTACCCAAAGGAGTTAAATCGTTATTCATAACTGCCCAAACTTGGAAGCAACAAAGATGTCCCTCAGTGGGTGAATGGATAAATAAACTGTGCTATAGCCAGACAATGAAATATTACTCAACGTTGAAAAGAAATGAGCTATCAAACCATGAAAAGATATGGAGGAATCCTGAGTGCACATAGTACTAAGTAAAAAAGCCATTGAGAGAAGGCTATATACTGTATGATTTCAACTATATGACATTCTGGAAAAGGCAAAACTATAAAGACAATAAAAAGATCAGTGGTTTCCAGGGGTTGGAGGGGAGAAAGATGAATAGGCAGAGCACAGAGAACTTTTAGGGCAGTGAAAATACTGTTTGATAGTGTAATGTGGTATAGATGTCATGATACGTTTGTCTAAACACACAGAAGGTACAACTCTAAGAGTGAAACCTAAAGTAAACTATGGACTTTGGGTGATTATGATGTGTTTCAATGTAGGTTCATCCTTGTTAAAAAAAAAAAAAAGGTAAAATTCTGATGAGTGATGTTGATAATAAGTGAGGTTATACGTGTTTGGAAGTGGGGGTATATGGGAAATCTCGGCACCTTCCTCTCAATTTTATTTCAAACCTAAAACTGCTCTAAAAAATAGTCTTTGAGGTCTCACCAGCAGCCCTGGCTGGCGCCCACCAAGTGGGCAGCAGGGCCTGGATGGCAGGGTCCTCTGGGGGCCCCGGAGTTGAGAGGCGGCCTCCAGAAGCCCCTGGAGGAAGATGGGCTGCGGACACAGAGGCTGAGCTGCTGCAAATCCCTCACAAAGAGGTGCCAAGAACCAGATCAGCCACCCCGACCAGAGCCGCAGGAACTAGGTCCCGTCAATGGAGACACTATGTTAACAAAAACAAAATAAAAAAAATAAGGTCTTTAAAAAAGTTTGAAGTATGGTGCCTGGAATCTCAGGAGTCTATATGTGACTCCTTATATAATCTATGAACTATAACTGGCCACATTCTTGCAACAGGCCACAAAACCTTAGCATAGAAATAAAAATCACTTGTCATCTGAATTGACTGATTTCTCCTGAGTATTTTTATAATGTTTATGTGTAAGTAGTGAGGGGCTCCTGTAGTCCAGACCATCAAACACAAGATGCTAGAGAAATTTTGTGATCAGGTATTAATAAAAGGAGATATTTATTCATTAGCAAAAATGTGTCATGTATTGTTCTAAACATTTATACATATTAACCTCTTTAATTCCTACAACAATGCCATGAGATGACTGTATTCTCATCCCATTTTACAGATGATGCAACCAGGGCAGAGTGTGAAGCAGCATGCCAAAGGTTATTGAGTTAGTAAGTGGCAGAGTGAGTGCTATTTAACTGGAAAAGAGTGACTTATTTTATTATCTAAAGTGTAACACTCTTTCCATTTCATTGTGTGGTTGAAAAAAATCTCAAAAACAAGACAGTGCCTGTTAAGGTAGACTGTAATACCACATTCTCTATTGGCTATTAATCTCTTATTTCAAATTTAATGTAATATGAACATTTATGGAAAGAAGTTCCCTCTTCTACCAAATATTTATTTTTTATCTTTGTTTTAAATTAGGACAAAATTATTAGCCTGCTGAAGATGCCCACGTGTCTCTGTCCAGGCCTGATGTAAAGCTTTAACGACAGGCAATTTCTAATTGGATTAAAGACATTTTCCTGAGTTTTCACTGAGCTGCTTCCAATTTCTACGCACTTGCTTTCTGTTGATCATTATTCTGAGGGAAGGTCATTTATGAATATGAAATTTCCTTCTCTTACATCTTGATATTTAAGCTGTGTTTATCGCTTCCCTCTCTTTTCTTCATGTCATTTCCACATTTAAGACCCAGTTTATTGCTTTCATTTATCCTATTTGAACAACTATAAGAAATTAACTCAAGTTTATTGCCTTTCTTATGACATATTTTACTCTGTTTATACTTGAAAATCCAGATTGTTTTTTTATCTTGCCCTGCAAACATCTGGTCAAGTTGGTGCCGTTATTTAATGTAGTAGACCACCACATTTCAATCCTTCAATCACCAAACTTAGGTGAAACAGAAAAAGGAACCAATTGTGTTCAAAAACAAGATGTGCATTACCATGGATCTGGCTTGGAACAGAAATCCATAGTTGTGTTTGGGCCTGGAGCAGCAGGACTGCTGGGCTCCAGGACAGAAACTAGGAGACACAACTGACACTTCAAATCATTTGGTTGGAAGTACCATGAAACTTCCTCTGCTGGACCTAGAGGTATAGTCTGAATTCTGGACCTTGAAGAAGTTAAATTAGAGTCCCATGATCACCGCGAGGCTGGTGCATCCACTGAGCTCTTCCTGGGATGCTAGAGGGAACAGGGACCTGGGGCAGCTGGGCCTTGACCAGCCTACCTGCCAATGTGGGAACTAGGTCTGTAGAATTCCCAGTGATAAGAGCCCCAAGATACCCAGTTAAGATTTAGTGCTGTAAGATTTGGGAGCTTGGGAGTTCAGATAGAGTAAGCAGACAGAGAAGGATGATTTTAGAGGAGGGAAAACATATGTATCTACAAATACACACACACACACACACACACACACACACACACATATACTACTATTATTCATTTTTAGCACCACAATAATGTATTCTATGCATTTATGATTTTATTCATGTTTGATTTTAGCATCCCATTATATAAAAGGAAGCACTATAATAAAAAGATGAAACTTTCTGATGATATTTGGAAATACTTTAGGAACATAAAATAGGGTATTAGAGAAAATAATGCATACACAAATTAATTCTTATTCAGGAAATATTAAATATTGTTTTTTATTTATTTTTTGCTATCTCACCTGCTTGTAAACAAACAGAACGATAGCTTTTTGCTTGTACTGAACTTTTATTTGCTAGGGTTTTTAATTAAATTTCTTACTACTGCTACATACAAATAGAACATCATTAATGTGGCTTAATTTTATGCTGATGAAATCTCAATCTATAGAGAAACAATTCTTAGAAAAACAATTCTTAAGTAAATAATTCTTAGGCAAAACAAAAGTTTCTCTTATACCAAAGTGAAAATATTTTTTTTATTTGTTTTTTATTCATTTTCACTGTATAAACAGTTTTAGATAATATATTAATGTCTTCCGAGAACAGGATAAAACTTTAAAACGTAGGCTTGTCTTGCAAACGTTAGCCTAGAACTATACATATGAAAATAAGGTTTTTATTCAATGCACATTTAATTTACTTTGATAAGAACAATTTTTATTTGCTTTTGTCTATAATGACAAGTATTACGGTCAACGGTGTTCCCATTTTGGTAAACATTTTAGCATTATATCTAGAACTACTGTATTTTTACTCTGGTATTTGTCATTTTCCTTCAAATATATCTGCTTTTCACAAACCAGGCACAGAAGGCTCCTTCGGGTAGCACAGCAACCACACAAAGTTATTTAAACTTTTTAAAGGGTCATATTAAATGACGAGTTATTTTAAATTTTCAAGGGAAACACAATGGCATCTATCGGGAACTACAAAAACTACCAGCTCAAAGTACTTCATTAGCTCGCTAAATTCCTTTCTATGGTGTCTTATCATGGTGAAACTAGGTTTTCAGTGATGACTAAGATAAAAGGCAAGTACTGTGAGAAAAACGGTGTAAAAAAGCACATGCAAGTGATAGGATCCAATCTGATTTGGAAGTTTGAGAAATTGTTCTGCACCCATAGACATTACGTTGTTAATAAATAAATACTTATTTCTTAAGTTGTTGGGCTTAACTGCTATAATTGAAACTGTTAGGTATTGCCTTTGGCCTAGGGTTTTGAAAAAAAAATTAAGATGTTAAAAGATACCATAAACCAAGAAAATTGGGGAACCAAGAAATTGGGGAATACTGTATATGAAATATACAGTATGTTATTCATAAAGTAAAGGTGTTTTTAATAGATGCTTGTTTTCCAATCAATCCAAAATAAAAACAAAACATTTCCTTAATGTTAACTTAGTGGCTATTCTGTTTAAATCTAATGGATATCCCTTTTAAAATAAATTGACAACACATAAACAAAACTGTGATTAGACTTCTATAGATAGCCACTATGTGAAGAATTGTATAGACCATAGTCACACACACACACATGCATACAAAATGATTCCAACACGAGTGTGGCCTCTTAGACTCCTAGACTATGGAGAGAATAAGGTATGACCAGGAAAATGTCAAATTATATACAAAACTACATAGATAATTATAAACACAAAAATATATTTCTCTGGTTCTACTCCCATTTTCTTTATCAGGATTACAGCCTCCACCAAACGCATCTCAAATAAATCCATGAAATTCCAGGAATTGTTTCAAGTCATACATTAGTCTCTGTGGGCATTTTGTGGCAAGTTATCAATTTCCTCATCTATCCCACCTGTGATTTTCTATGCCTGCAGTAACTGCTAAGGTACTGATACCTGGCAAGGGCATTGGCTCCAGCGTGATGCTGCCTGGGCTGCCATCTGTGCCAATGTCACTGGTGCCTGAAATTGGTACTGATGTCTGTGCTGAGGGCACTCTCTCTGGGAGACCTAAAAGCACTGGTTCACAATCCTACTAGGGTCAATGACTAAAATGTGCATTTCACCTTGTACCCTCAAATTCCCATGATGATGCTAATGAAATCTGTTTTTTTAAATGCAAACCCATTTCTCTAAGGCTGAGGCATGAGTATACACACTCTCTCTGTCTGTCTCTCTCTCTATATATATTTATATATATGCATATACATATATGTAAGTATATATACATACTACACATATTCATAATCCTTCTGAGCAAACATGAAATACCTACGTAATACATCTGTGTCTCAGAATAAGTTTCTCTCAAGCTTACATTTAGACATATATGCACACACATAATAATAATTAACATAATTAATATACATTTTTTAAATTTAAAAACAAACCACTCTAAAATTGGAACAGTCTGTGAACGTGAAGCTGTGTGTGGGGAGGGCTCTGTCTTGCTTCATTGCTAGGCATCAGGCAGGCTGCCTGCTCTGTCTCAGCCTCAGTGTCCTCTCGCGAGGCCCCTCAGAACTGAGTGCTCTGTCAGGAAAACTTGTAAAACCACCTGTCTTCTAAGCGCTCACTTAATTCAGGGGGGTTGTGATTGTGAAGAAGAACATTGCTTATAATTGTTCCACAAAAATAGAATAATTTTATTCATAACAACTAATATTTAAAAACAATAATCTTTTAAAGGAAAATAATAGAAATATGTTTTCTACCTTAGAATAACATTTTGAGGATGTTTAAATTGAAACAGAGATTATAAGCCTTTAGTGATATTTAAGAGACATCTATAAAAGCCAGTGTCACAATGTCCCTCAGATATGACTGTACATTACCTCAGGTGCACATATGCGCTACAGAGCACATAAGAAGTCCCTAATTACATCCAGCAGTGGCCTCTGCATAAGATAATTAGACAATATTAATCTGTGAAAACTACCCAGAGAGGGATAATATCAGGGTCAAAATACATGTGCAGATATATATATATGTGTGTGTGTGTATGTATATATTCAACACATACACATACATGTATACATACACACATACTGCTACAGGATACAAAGCTTTGAGATAAAATGAATAGGAAATTCACCATTGTTTCACTATTGTGGGTATCGTTATACTCCTAGAGATTGTCTACAATAAGTTTGTCATCAAAGAGATAGAATATCAAAACTGAGACATGAAAATTGTTGGTTTACAGAGTTTGACCTTGGGACCTCTGAAATTAGGAAAATGTAAAGATGAGACATTTTCCCCATGTTTAATGGAAACTTAGGTCTGATCTTTTTACTGTCAAGTTGGAACATTTTTATGTTTTACTCTACTTAATATTTTGCTATATATACAAAGATGAAATTTAATTGTAAAAATAAATTTAATTACCAGTGTTGCCTGATGATAAGCATATCCGACAGGCTGGTCTTATGTCATTCACCTCTGCACCACTCATTAAGTAATTAACAGCATTGATTTTGTCACAACTTCTGCCCACGCTGTGTGAAAATTAATTACTTTTATGGGGCAGCCTATGTTGGCTAGCAAAGCTGTCATAAAGGTCCTGGGTTGCACTGTCAGCCAATATCCTTTATTCAGGCCATTTGCAGTTTGACCGAGGTCATGGCTCATGTCTCCCGCTCCGCCACATGATCAGCTGCGATGAGGAGGTTTCAGACTGGAGGGCTGGAGCTCATTCCTGCTGATAAGTTAAATAATTTCTCCAGGAACAGTTTTAACGAACTGCTCAAAGTGTTCATCTTAATTCTATCTCAAGTAGCCATATGATTTTATTCATGTCTCTGATTATCAATTTCTCCACAGCTAAATGAAGATATGGAAAAAATACCAATTGACTATTGAGTCTGTCAGTTTTCCTCTTTGTAATTTTTTCCCTACAGTATTTAAACTTAAAGCTTCTTTTACTATCTCAGAATAAGAGAAGAAGTTTACATTTTCATGTAATTTAATGCCTTGATTTTTTTCTTTTAACTCTTCGATTCACACGGAATTTTTATTTTGGTGGGATGTAAGATTAGAATATAAATTGGTATTGTTTTCAAGAGTAGTAAGATGGATCCTGCACCAGTGAGTGAAAAATACTCTGTGCCTGCACACATCCCAAGAGCACTAGATATGGGAGCCCCCCACTTACACTGACATTGCTCTTAGTTAAACTAGCATGAAATGTCAAGATGTAATTTTACAGTAAATGTAAGTACGTAGAAGCACATTTAACTTTCTGTTCTGGTCAGAGGCCAGGTATGCAGCTTGCCGTTTTGCTCCTGGGTGTGGAAATAGAGCAGTGGTGGTTTCTCTCATTAGGCCAGGCAGTCCACTTCTTAGCTGGCATAAAATAACCATAGCTGTGATGCATAGACTCTGACAGGAGGTCAGCTTGGCAATTTGTTGTGATGCGCAGTTCTACTCTAAAATTATAAATACATGTCTTAGTTTTGCATTCACAGATTTTGTAAGCCTCAGAGCAATTTTTTCCAAAGATGGTTGGTCAGAACCTCTGAACTCTCTGGAAGGTCTGCAATGATCTCTGTAAGCGTTATTCAGCAGATGATATGCCTTCTGTATTTTTTTCTGTCCAATGCTTTCATTCCTAGATGGATTAGGAGGGGTTACTCTACTGTCAGCTCAAATTTGCCCCCATTCTATGGGGGCAGTCACACCTTACCAATATGACCAAATGAGCTGTATTCTGTTAAAAGTTTAGGCTGGTGAGACTCTCCCTTATGATGTACACTTGGAGTATGTAAAACAGGAGACTCTAGCTCCAGCATCATGTCATGTAAGAAGTTTGATATGTGATGTAACTTTTGACTCCTTGTGGATTTGAATGATGGAGAGTTTATAGCCAAATGAGATTAGAAAAAATCTAGTTATATGTATTTGTAGAAGCATCGTAAACCTCCAAACAAAGCTGTCTGATAAAAGATGATTGGATTTGGAAAATGCATTTTGGATTATGCTGTCTCCCACTTTGAATTTAAATTCTGGCATGTCAGGGAGAAAGAGAGCAAAAGAGAAGGCTGGAGAGAGCATAGACTGCCAAGCTGGCCATAAGGTTGTTTTCCAAACCAGCAGCATGATGGAGGGCATCAGCTTTACCTACCCAGTCACAAGCAGGAGCTGAGAGAGTGCTGAGGTTGATGAGAATAGAGAGAGCTGAGGGGAAAGCACAGAGAAGCAAAGTAGGCCTTTTCCAAATTGCTTATTCCATAGAAAGCATCAGCTCAAGAGTCTCAATGCTCTTGGAAACAGGAAGTGAGAGAGGATGAGGACAGATTAGCCTTCTGTGTTTAGGGCTTTGTAAGTTTGCCCAGTGTTGAACGTTTCCCAATAAATGCTCCAATTGGTCACATTAGTCTCCTCTCCTTCCTTGGGGAGGAAGATTTGATTATATAGCATTGAAACAGGAAATTCAGATTTTCTATTATTTTCAAGAAGATCATTAAATTTTCTTAAAATTAAACATTGAAAATAAACAATATAATCTAGAAATTGTATTTCTTAGGTTCTTTTGTTTGCAAATAATAAATACTAAAATTGACATAAGCAAAAAGGGAAATTTATCAGCATATAGAATTCAAGGAAGGATTTACCAACAAAATAACAGAAAAGAGAAGAATGCAGCTGAGTAGTCAGGAAAATGGCAATTGGGTACTGACCATGAAGAAAGTTCACGTTAAGTGGTTGGTGAGTGAATAACTAAATGAAGGAAGATGCGATAATTTGCCAAAGTATGAGTCAGAAATCTCTGAGTATCTGGCCATTATTTCTCTCAGGACATTTTAGCACACAGTGGCGTCTTCTATGTGATGGGCAACATGGCAACATGGCTAATCATCCACATCCATTCAAGTTTTGCAATTCACAGTTGATACAATTAAAGAAAGACTATCATAACGTTTTCTCTGCTGCCAAATTCAAAAATTCCAGGGAAGGGCAGATTAGCTCTACATGGATTGGATATTCATCTCCAGATGAATTAACTGTGTAATGAAGTAGTGGTCTAATTTGAGTCAGGTGCACATTATAAGAACGACTAATCGTGTTTAGTCACATGAGAATATGTCAGCTCCCACAGTGATCATGGGGCTGCAGGATGGAGTGGAAACAAGGAGGCAGTTTCTACATTAAGGGGATAGAGGTTCTGTAAGACATTCTTAAAAGATGTTCATTACTAGATTATGGGAGTTATACTCTGAACATATATTATTGTACAAGGGACTATGATCATAAGCAAGTTATCTTCACATGTCAGCTGTGACCCTGCTTTGGTTCTCTCACTTTTAATAGCAACATGGATTCTATAAGCTCCTATGGGTCTGTTGAAGTGGCGAAGATAAAGACTAGGTATTAGATGGTAAATGTTTCTCCCTATTTTGAAGCCAAGAATAACCATTGGCTATAATAGAGTTTCCAAAGTTTCCTAGATAAACTAAATCCCAGCCAGAAAGCCTACATTTTTCTTGTTTCTATTTAGAGTGTGAGAATAGCCAGAGAATCCAATCTATTTAAGTGATTGATACTAGAAGGGCCTGTTTAGCCTTAGGCTTCCCAAGACAGACCCAGACATTTTCTAAATTTGGACAGTGGACCTTAAGATTCCTTCTTTTTAGGATGTTACCACACTGTCTCTATTCCTTAAAGAGCATATGATAAGGAGCCTTCCCTCATTGAGAGAGAGACACAATACTCTTAAGCTTTGGCATACTGTTGCATCGTCATTCATTTACTTATTCATTCATCAACCACTTAATGTGAGCTTTCTTTATCATGAAACACTTAATATCTAATATATGTTAAATTAAATATTCAAAGTAAACACTTCCATGTAATAGCATTTGCAATGCATTGATTGCTATAAAATGGTCTTCAAGATCTATGCTTACATAAATTGTTCAAAGATAATTTAAAAATGTTTACAATTTTAAGTCTGTTCTTTAATATTATATAGATAACTAAGTAGTATAACCAGAATTTAAACTTTAGAATTGAGCAAATAGGTCTTCTAAATCAATGAACTTTTCAGACCTTGTGCCAACTGATATTCTTAAATGCACATTTGGAAGGCAGGAGTGTATTTTCTTTACGACGTTCTGACTTAACCTCCACTGTCCCAGAGTCAAGAGCTGTGCTGTATAAGCAGTGGCACTAAGACCTCTCACCCACAGCATCCCAGCTTCACAGGATGTCCCAGCTCTGTTTATGGTGGAAAAGGAGTGGGAATTTTAGGACTGATAAGGAGTAAGCTACAGAGAGTTATATGCCTTGTTTATTTACCAGTTGAATAGAGTTCTAAGAATATTGATGTATGACTTGTTATAGTGTTAAATATAGCTAATTGTTGATAATATTCATTGCAATAATGCTGAGACTACCCATCCTACAAAGGTTTTATTAAAAATCAAAGCTGAAACAGCTTCCGCAATGGATTGAAGCTGCTGAGTCAAACTTAGAAGGTTACAAAGTCACAATGCTACTAAATCACTCTCATTCTAATCAATTTTAAATCCAAAATCAGGTTAAGTAAACATGTGAACTTCTCCCGACGCACTCTTCAAGTATTTGAATTGCTTTCTTATTTTAAGGCTTACTTCATTCCTCTGTCACTGTGTAGTGGGAATCTCAGTCTAAGTATTTTTTCTATTTTTTCTGTTCTAGTTTGAATGGTTCCAGATGGCTTCTTCAATTACTGTTAACTCAGAAGGGAACTAACTTTTTAGTAATAACAATTGTTTTCCTCTGTGCATAACTGGAGGTGTGTGTGGATGTCAAATTAGCTACACTAGTGAAAGAGTTTAAGTATTTCGGATGACTGAGAAATGGAGTTTATTTAATCAGACATTTGGTGTCGTCAAGATTGAAAAAGAAGAGTGCGCGCACTCCGCTGCTGGCGGCCGGGGTTCAGATCCCGGGCGCGCACAGACGCACCGCTTCTCCGGCCATGCTGAGGCCACGTCCCACTACAGCAACTAGAAGGATGTGCAACTATGACATACAACTATCTACTGGGGCTTTGGGGGGAAAAAATAAAAAAAATAATTATTAAAAAAAAAAAAAGATTGAAAAAGAACATTGTCTGGAACCTGGAGGTTTGGCTTCAAGTCTACAACGGTTTAAACAAGGGTTTCTCAATCTCAGCCCTGTTGACATTTGGGGCCAGATAATTTTGTTTTGGGGAGTGCTGTACTGTGTATTGAATGTTTAGCAGCATCCTTGATCTCTACACACTAGGTACCAGTGGCAACCCCTTGCCCCAGTTGTGACAACCAAAAAGTTTCCAGACATTACCAAATATCTCCTGGGGGAGAAAAATCATCCCTGGTTGAGAACCACTAGTTTAAACCAAGCTTGGTACAAGAGTCCTGGTGGTCATCCATGATTTGGGGGATGGCTACACAGGACACAGAACAAACAGAGCATCAGAATTTGTGTCCCAGGAAACACTCTAACAGTGTAGGTGCTGAGAGAAGAGCATTAATCACCCTCAAATATTCAGAGTGACCAGCAGAGGGATCTGGACCAGCAGTACACCAGTTGTTGGAACCTGCGCTATGCGGCAAAGAGAAGCAATGGTAATACCCACTGATCAATCTCCAGAGTCTACTCAACAAGAAGCCTGCAGGTGAGCCCAGTCTTCACCCTGTGAGGGTTGCCTTTCAGAGACCATGAGAAATGGTGCAGACGGAGTACTTTCCATCTTTAAAAAAAGTACATGCTTTGGGATTTTGAGTTTATAGATCTAATTTATTCTGGTTATACTTTGAGATCCCTATCTTAAAAACCATGACTCTTTATGCAGCATTTTATAACCATTGTCTAAAAGTGATGCAGTCTGTGGCTATAAGCTTGGTAGATGATATTCACAAATATTGCATTTCTACCTAGCTAAATTTCAGAATACTCTCACCTCAATAGCTTATAAAAGGAATAGATAAATTTAGCCCAACAACAACAACATCAAGGGAATATGATGAAGATATAAAATCTAATGTCAATTTAAGTCTCAATGCATTTAAAATCATTTTCTAAGGGATGAAATAAAGAATATTGGGGCCCTGATAATTGTCAAGTCACAAAATTTCATAAGAGAGAGCTGAGCTCAGGTTTCCACATAAGATCCTACTCAACCCTAGGAAGGCATTCTCTGACCCCCTCTTACCTACTCTCCTCTCAAGATACAGAAGAAATAGAGCAATACCCAACTCTTCAACTGTAGCTCTGAGGTCAAAAGAGTTTTACATCAATTCATCTGGAATAAAATTAGATAGATGATAGATAGGTAGATGGATAGATACCTAATTACACGTGAATAGAATGAAAATGAATAAGAGAGAAATTATGGAAAAAACTTTTTAAAAACTCCTACAAAGATTTTTTTAAAAGTAAAGAGCAAAGCAAGTAACAAGCTGAGAAATATTTTTTTAAAAATGGCAGATGGAAATCAAATAATAGTTTTACTTAAAATGAAAGGCTGGACTAGCAGACTTGCTTTAGGTATTTCTACAATGCACTTTATACCAGCGACCCAGTATTAGGATGACCCCTCCCAGGCACAGAATACCAGAGGCCCACCCCACAGGGACAGAACTTTTACCATTAAGCTGATTCCATACCCAAGAGCAATTGAAAGTGCATGACATCTTTGAGCAGACAAATATTAAAGGAAAAGAGAAGGGAAAAGGAGTGAACTACATATACTAGTTCCGTATATGATATAGTATATGATACATGGTAAATAGATAGATGATAGATAAGCGATAGATAAATGGTAGAGAAATGATAGATAGATGATAGATATAGATAGATAGACAGATAGATAGATGATAGGTAGATGATAAATAAATAGATATGTAGATAGACAATACATAGATCGATGATACAGAGATAGATGATAGATAAATGATAGACAAGTGATAGATAATAGATGATAAACAATAGATAGACAGTTGATTGATCAATAAGTGATAGATAAGTAGAAGATAGGTGGATGGATAGATAGATAGATAGATGATAGATAGATATACTCCTCGCCTGGGGAGAGTAAACAAAGGCGGAGAAGACAGAGACCACGAGTACCAAGCTAATGGACACTCTTCTGCCTAGAAGGAGTGGTGAATATGTAACCACTTCTCAATCTTCCACCCCCACCCCTAACCAAGCAATATGGGAAGCCTGGGAGAAAGTCAGTCTTGGACAGGCCACTTGGAAGGGGAAAATCATCTTACCTTGAATACCTATGAGAGGTCTAAGCAGAGATCATGAAATGTAGAAAATGTGTATCATGTATTAGACTGTGTAGAACCAGTGTCTACAGAGCTATCATGTAAAAATGAGATGCATTGTCACTCATTTGCCTAAACTAACTCAGCCTGACTGAACTGGGATGTATATTTTTTACTAAACTGACTCTAGTTACTTGGGTTTATGAACTATATAAACCCAAGGGTGTTTAGAAAACTCAAGACAGGAATATTTATTCTCTGCAAAATTACTATCATTGCAGTAATAAGTTTAAATTTAAAAGCTTTAAAACATTTAATTTTAAATGAATTTTTAAAATCCTATATATTTTTTAAAAAGTGACAAATTTTCACCCTGAATTTACGGGTCATATAATGCCATTTGTACATTTGCTAGAGATAGATGCATATATCTGGATTACGTATTAAGTTTAAGATTCTTTAGAGGTGGAACCCATAGACTATATCTTACTAAATTTTGCATCCCCTATACATAAGACCAAAGTTCTGAATGGTTTCCAAGGAGAGAATATGCAGCTTTGGGGAAGGTTATGCTGATTTGTGGTCACCCAGTCCAGTTCATCATAGAAGCATATTGCACCAGATGCTCCAAAATTGTGTGTGTGTGCACAAGTGCACCGTGCTTGTGTTTGGCATCAGCTAAGAGGTATTTACCCTCTTGCCATCTTCACAGTCTCTAGATGGCTTGTCAGCAGTTGCTCATGCATCCCTGGCTGACAGACACTCAGTGAGTCAATGGCATTGTGATCAAGGATGCTGCCTCTGCAGATAAACTGTTCGTCTGCTTACTACCTGGGCATCCTTGGGCAAATTTTGTAACCTCTGTGTTCCTCGGTTTTCCCACTAGTAAAATTTTAGCTGTAACACAACCACCACCACAAGACTGATATGATGAAACAAATTAATATATGTAAAATTTTTTGAATAGTGCCTGACATATAGTAAGAACTCAATAAACCTTAGCTATTGTGTTAGGGATGAATCTACCACTATGATTAGAGAAGAACAGAAAAAGAACTTAGGTCTTATGCATACTCTGATAATATTCTCTTTTGTTTTGTTTTGTTTTTTTTGTTTTTTGTTTTTTTTGAGGAAGATTGGCCCTGAGTTAACATCTGTTGCCAATCTTCCTCTTTTTCTTTTTTCTCCCCAAAGTCCCAGTACATAGTTGTATATCCTAGTTGTACATCCTTCTAGGTCTTCCATGTGGGATGCTGGCTCAGCATGGCTTGATGAGCCATGAGTAGGTTCGCATCCAGGATCTGAACCGGCGAACCCCAGGCCGCCGAAGTGGAATGTGCAAACTCAACCACTATGCCACTGGGCCGGCCCTTGATAATATTCTTAAAATGAGCAATGTGGACACTTTTCCAATCATAAACAAATTTGCAGCTATGCATCAATAGTAACCCGTCAGTTGCTTGAAACACCATTCTAACTAAAAAGAGATTTATTGCTTTTGGGTGAAGCAGTAATTCAAAGAAGGTTGTTGAATACTTTGTAGGTACTTCTTGTCACATATCAGAATAACCTCTGACATGAGAAAAGAAGCCATTTGTACCTAAATAAACATCATCTGAATATTTCCAGCACGCACTGCAAAATCTCTTTCAAAATTGGGCTCAGCAGGGTAGATGTGGATTTAAGCATCTTTGACTCTGAATAATAGAGTTGGGAAAATATATATGAATATATTTAATTTCTCCCTTATAGCAGTGAATTTCAGAATATTTGTCAAACGTATTTGTCCACTAGAAAATTTTGATGTTGATGTGGATATTTTAAGAACAAGGAAAGAGCTTTATTGTATTGCCTCCAGGTTTTCTACTTAAGTGGTGGGAGAACTTGTAGCTC